GCTTCTCCCCACCACACAAAGCCATGTTTTGCACCAGCCCCACTGAGGACAGGGGGAAATCCCATCCCACCAAAGCTGATGGTGACTTGTAGGAGGGATCCAGGGTTTCTCCTAGCAGCACAAGCATCCCACCCAGCCAGCAGCTGGACTTTGGGGCTGTCACGAGCTGATGCACAGGGAAGAGCATCCTACCTGATCCCCCACACCACCAGCGAAGTCCAACCCCAACAGGCCAAGTTACCCGCGGAGAGCCCCTGCCGGGGGTCCCAGCAGGACCCTTCTGGGGACAGGAATGGTGGGGACTGACCTTTGGACTTTGACTTCATCTTGGAAGAGCAGGGCTTGGTCACATAGACGATCTCCTCACACTGGGCATTGTACAGGGCTTTCTTCAGGATGCCGGAGCGAGTCTTCACGCCTGTCTGAGCACTACACCCCCCCCAGCTCTCAAATTTGTACTTGCAGTCAGCTGGGAGAGAGGGGAAGAGGCGTCAGAGCCGGCCAGGACCCGGCGTGGGCACCAGCCCTGGCCACCCAGCCCACGGTGGTCCCTAGCCACCCCACCACCATATACCCACCTCCAAACTTCTTCTTCCAGTTACAGGGGATCTTGCACTTGAGCTTCTTACTCTCGTCTTTGCAAGTTCCCTCACGGTAGCCCAGGCCACAGTCCTTGCTGTTGGGGACGCAGGGTCCCCAGCGCCAGTCCTCACACTTGGAGCCGTCCTTCTTCGCCTTCTCTGCAAGGGAAAGGTGGAGCGGGGGCTCGGTGTAGGGACACAGGAGCACACCCTTGGCTGCCCTCCACCCCCCATCCCGGGCTGCCCCTCACCTTTCTTGCTCTTGCCAGCCTCAGCGGTGGCAGCCAGCAGGATCAGCGCCAGGAGGAGGAGGAGGAGGCCCCGAACCTTCATCCTGCCTGGGGAGAAGGGAGAGGGTGAGGTTAGTGGAGGGGGCCGAGGTGCAATGCAGCAGTGAGGAGGGGGCACGGTGGGCTGCGGGCTGCCGTCCTGGGAGTGAGACGGTAGCTGCTTCCATTGCACACCTGCGTGTGCGTGCGTGTGTGCACCCCCATGCCCTGCTCCTTGCCACCCATTAGACCATGTGTATTAATTTCAACAGGAAGGTTAATTATTTATCTCAGTAACTACCTCCGGCCAGGGAGCCTTCTTGCCACCCCTGCAGCCCCTCACCGCCCTGCGTGTGGCCGAAATGCTTTCGGCGGGGACCCCTGCAGCC